TCGTGGATGTTTTTTTGTCAAGAGGCCGCGCCAGTCAATGACAGCCAATGCTTTTGATGACTTCCCTGCCGGAGTTTGAGCCCATGTGGATGTGGTCGCACGTGGCAGCACCAAGAAAATAAGACATTGTTGCTTAAACCTTCACCTTTGAATTGCGGCTTTCGGCCAGTTTGGACGCTTCGGGCTTCGGGCTTCTTGCGAGGCCTTGAGGTTTTCCGGCGTGTAGCTGTCTGAGGGACCATGTCTCTCGGCTGCGCTTCGCTCGTATGTATCTAGTAGTATCCATGATCCATGTGCATTCATTTTTCCACTGCTGTTCGGGCTCAGGCAGAACGGGTATTGAATGAATGGGTTTTTATTATTGATGGACCTGTGTTTGATGCATGTCGACACGAAGAGTAAAAGCAGCAAGCCGAAGGACAACGGCAAACCCAGTAAGTAATCCTGGATCGAAATGTCTGAACTTAGCTCTGAACGCAAACTCGTCGTAATTTCTTCACTTCAGGCTGTGTGCACTTGCTAGTTTGACTGTTGTCCCGTTTAAGGTCGTCAAGCCCGAAACGAAAGCCCTAGTCACTGGTCCCTAGTCCGTGCCGTGCCTTGTTGCGTTCGCCGCCGTCCCGAGCTGGCAGAGGTGCGATTAGTCCGTGCTTGCGCGGATTCGGGCTTCGGGTTTCATGATTTTAATGGTTCGGGATTCAGAACACAAGCTAGCCCAGTTGGTTTAACGACCAGGAGCAACACCTTGCGAATCAGGTTTAACGACCCCATGGTTGAAAACCTTACGGGCCATCTGGACTATGGCCTTGGGTTTCGAGTTTAGCCTCACGGCTTTGACCCTGGAAAGTTGGCAATATAGTATATTCTGTTTTGCATTCGAACTTCCGCGGCAAAGCCCTCTGCCTTACATCCCAAGACGCTGCCCCCCCCCCCCCGCAATACCAACCAGGAGCTGCACCAGAAACTGTTCAACCCCCAAAAAAAAACCCGAAACCAACCGCGGGCAATCTGGATTTCTTTACATCTCGGCTCCAGGTCTGAGCCTTCAGATTCTCCCCCCTGAGCCAAAACCTGCAGAACCGGAGTCGCAGTGGCGTCAGGGCCTTTCGATAAGGCCTTCATTCAATTTAGGTTCCGCGGACGATAGTGTTTGAACTGGAAAGGCGAAAGCTGTGGTTTCGGGTGGCGGGCCGCTAACAGTTTAAGTTTGGGGTCTACGGGTCTTCTTGGGCCAACCTCGAAGTCGGAAGTTATCTGATCCTGCTTGCCCTCCCTTGTCCTTAACCCAAACACTCTAAGTCCAGGCATCCCAGACTCGTTGATTCCGATGCCCTCAGCAAAGAATCACTAGTCTGCGCGTGCAAAACCTAAAGCCCGAGAAAATCACCCCAAAACCTAAAAGTGCTGAAGCCCTGCGACCCATCACTTTGAAGCCAAAGTACAAACCTGCTTCCATCCGCGTGGGCCTCCTCAGCCCTTGCAGGTGTCAGGATATGGGTCAGGCTTGCGTCTCCAGCCTGGGGGCTCAGAGAAGTTTCAGGGCTTTGGGCATGGGCGGCATAGGGCCTAGGGGTAGCAGAGAGAATGACACTGGTGCTCCTGAGAAGAAGGAATGGCAGTAATGATTTGACGACGGCACCCATGGTAGGACTGCTAACATGTTGGTGATGGTACATCTTGATGCAGCGACTGCTGCTGGTGTTTGTGTTGAGCATTCTGAGATGACGATTGTGATGTGGCTTTTGGCTTTTTCTTGCTGATGTTGACGACGATGTTGTTGATGATGATGATGATGATGATGATGATGACGGTTATCGTTGTAGTATGAGCCTGACAGCCCGTGGGCCTGATTTCTATTGGGGCTGATTCCAGGTTGTTACACTGCTCTGGGTTGGCTTGTTGCTAAGTGTTCGGCTTTTCCTCTGTTTCTTATCGGCTTCGGATGTGAATCTTGGATTTGAGTAGACGCCCAAAGCGTGTAGGCATGAGGGGCTTTGGGGATTTTTTGGGAAGTCGTCGTCACCCGAATCACAGCCCGGCTCCATGCAGCTTATGAGCAGGGTTTCTGTAAACTCCTCGTCTTCGTCGTGGCCCAGGTTGACTCCCGAGCCTAAGCCGCCTAAGCCCTGACACCTTACGCTTGAAACTTCGGCCAGACACCACCCCGCAGCCCATGTTGTTGTCTTAGACCAGCTGAATCCTAAAGTCCTAAATCCTAGACCCAAAAGCCTGAGCCTTACTTACAAAACCTTGCTCGCGAGTGCTAAGCCCTGGAAATCAGACAACCTTAAACCCTGAGCCCGAAGCCGTAATGCCTTGTTCCTGAAGTTTGTAAACCGCGTACTAAGCCCACGCCACATCGAACGGTGTTCCCAGGCTGTGTCAGCCCCGATGCGGGCAGAGCCGGCAGCTGTGCACAGCCGGCTCGAGTTAGGGCTCAGGGGGTGTAGGATCTTGGGTTCGGGGTCTAGGATGCGGGACGTAAGGGTTGACGATGTTGGCTTGGGGTTTTTCAGTTATGGTCCGTTATATTTTAGAATTCACAACTTCGTGCGCATGACAACTTTAGGTCTGATCTTCGGGGTTAAGGATGCATCCTTCCGCGTCTCTTGATTCGTTTGTTCCGGTACCCCTTCCAAATCTTTGAGACTTTGAGTTGTGTAGGTGTTATTCGAGTCTGTTCTACTCTACGAGCAAAAGGGATGTCAATCGGTTTCTGACGTGCTTTGCAGTAGCCGAGGCAGGGGGATCCGGAAGAAGCCCGAAGCCTTTATTTACCCCACAACAGAGGCCCTAAAGCCTTGACCCCGCCCGTAGCTTGTCAGACTGGGGGTTCCGATCTTCAGCTTTTGTTTGGTAGTGAGCTGATGATGGTTGTTGCGGTCCCCACCGTACCGGTCGCCCTTACCCTGTCAAGTCACCGTCTCTCCCAACCCCAGTAGTTTCCTTTGCGTCTTTAGGTGCTGGAAACATGGGTGACCTCGTACCGGGCACCAAGCAATAGGAAACTAGGCACATAAAGGAAGCGTAAAATCTCCATTCAGGGCCTTCCCGCGGGTCCTGGTAAGGGCCAAGGGATGGGCCGAAGTGTCGGCTCGCTTTGCTCTTTCAGCTTTCTGGGCCGAGGGTTGAGGCACTTTGCGAACTCTGGGTCTCCGGTGCGGGAGGGTTGCGAGCCGCGGATGTTCGGCAGTTTAGGTAGGATGTCGGAATGTATCAGATACCGGACGCATTTCTGAGTTCATAGCCCCTCAACCATGGAAGACCCTAGAAGGTTAATGTAAAGTTGAATGAACCCCCAAACAACTTGAACCCTACATGTAGAGTGTACGGCCTTGAGCCTTCATAGATTCTGTCACTCCTTTGTTGAACGCGCCGTGGCCGAAGGAGGCGCCGCTCTTCCACGAGTGCGCCGCGTCCGATGAGCCCGGAGCCCATGATGCCGAGGATTTCGGACATCAATCCGGAGCATCCGAAACGGAACCCTAAACTCCCTAGACCCCTAAAGCCCAAGATTTTGACTTCTCCTACTCCCAGCCCTGTGTAAGGACCAGGGTTTTTTTTGGGGCTTCAGGGATCCAGGATTCCGTAGATTCTCGGTGATTCAGGCTTCAGAAGGGCTCGCAGATTGACGCCGAAGCCTTGTGTCCCGAAATTTGGAGGCTCGGTCATCGCGCGCGAAGTCGTAGGCGGAAGCCGGAGGTTCCAGGTGACTGAGGCTCTCGACTCGGGGTTTGGCCATGCACAGACAGGGTTTTTAGGGGGTTTACGGGGGTTTAGGGCCTAGGGTTTAGGGTTTTTGCGGATTTTTGGGTTCTTCGGAGTCTTCGGCAGGGTCTTTGGGGCTTCGGGTTTCCGAAAGCAAGGTAGACCCCAGACTCAAACACTGGGCTTGAAGAGCTCGCAGACTCCAGGCGTGGACGACAAACTGCAGATTCTCTAAAGGTGCTGTATGGGTTTCTGTTTATTTCATTTGATGACGACGGGGACCGGAAGCGCTGGTTGCATTTCGGAATGCCCATGGAAAAACAGGACCTGAGCCTAAGCCCCACACCCCGTGCCTGAACCGAGGGTGATCATCAGCACTGGCGACGATGGGATGTCACAAGCTCAGGGCAGTAAGCAAAAGGCCAAGGCTACGTTTTTTTGGAGCTGTCGGGTTGGGGGCTAAGCTTCTTTTGCTGCATGGTTTCGGTTCTTGAAGCTTTCCTAACTTCGATACTTCACCAAAATACAGGGGGTCCATCTTCATGACCTCATTGATTCGGGTTTTCGGCCGATAATGAACACACCATGTTTAAGAGCAAGACTCCTTTCATACCCCTTCGCACTCGTACTATGGGTCTTTTTTTGAACGCCGGTCCGAAACCACCAGCCTTACGAAAGCTTCTGGATCCCCAGAAAGCCCTCTTCAAAAAGCTTTTCGGGGTTAGAGGTTGGCGGCCCCCCCAAACCCATGAACTTTGGAGGATGTTGTGTTCAAGAGTGTCTTAGGACTTAGGAGGTTTAGCATTTAGGAGTTCAGGCTTAAGGTGCAAAGTTTAGGGGTTTTTAAGGGTTGTCCAAAGGGTTTCCGGGCTAGGTCGCAGGACGCAGGTTGGCCGCGTGGTATTTGAGGTTGGGACGTGGCTGTAGTGTTCGCTGGGCAAAGTTCAGATTCAATAGCTTTGGGCTTGGGGGAAACCCCGAAATCTGAGCCTCAAGCCCCAAACCTAAACCCGAAGCTCTAGAGCGGCTACAAGTACCTGCAAAAGCCTGTGTGGCGTTGAAGCCCTTAGGGCTTAAGTCTTTGTGAACTCGCTGCGAGTCGAATGTTGGCCGAGGGGTTGGTGTTGTATTCGAAGATAGACTCGTGGTTCTCGACACCATCTGGCTCCAACCCACCAAAAGCGGTTGAGGTTTATTACAGCGATTCCTGCTTTATACCGAAGCCGCAGTCTACGTTACGTCTGGCAGTCTTAACAGTCTTGGCATAGTGTATGTGAAGGGCAGCTGCTGCCATGGTGGAGGCCGTAGAAGGGGACGCGGCCTTTGCCGCCGGCATCTTTAAGAACTGCTTCGGCCGTGGCGGCGACTTCACGGTGGTGGTAGAAGAGCCGCAAGCTGAGGATAGCTGCGGGTCAGAAGTTGTCAAGCGAGTGGAGTTTAAGGTTTGGTCGCAGTTGCTGGCCAGCTGGTCTGCTGTGTTCGACAAGATGATCAACTCTGAGGAGTTTCTCGAGCATAAGAAGGCCCAGGTGGTTCTTACGGACTTCTCTAGTGGAGCGACGGAGATCTTCCTTCGTTTCCTCTATTCCGGAATCGTAGAAGGCCCTCTGGAAACCCTCGTAGAAGTTTGCGCGATGGCGGACAAATACCAGGTGGACAGACTGCACCAGCTCTGCACACAGGCGTTCCAGAAAGGACTGACGCCCGAGAATGCCTGCCAGCTCTTTGCCGCTGCCGCCCGCTTCCGGCTTCTAGACTTGCGCAGAGTGGCGCTCGAGGAGATCTGGGTCAAGGCAAAAGACACGTTGAAGGAATGCCCAAAGATAAGCCCTGAGCTCTTGGAGGAGATCCTCGCTCCCGGCCTGATCTGCATGAGCCATGCTGATCTCAGGGCCGTCTTGCAAGGGTGGAGCTCTGGTAGGAAACGGAAGGCTGGTGAGGAAGCGACCTTGCCTTCGCATTTGCAGCCGGTCATCGAGAGACACTTGGAGCGGTTGAACGATGAAGAGGAACGCATTTTGGCCGCATATGGGCTAGATGTGGAGTGGTCAGTATTTGCAGTCCACAACCAGGATATCTTCAATGGCCTTTTCGACGACTGCCAAGACATGGAGGACGACGGCATATGCTTTTTGGGCTACTATCTGCAAGTAGTCTTCGGTCGGAAGAGCTGGGCCTTTCGTTCGCGAAACCCGGAGCCACTGGAGGAGTACTTCGGTAATGGTCTGCCCTTCTCTCTGAGTTCGGACTCAATTTCATGGATGCTGCCCCATGAGTCCGTGTATCTCATGGGCCTTTCCTTCGTCTTGGACATGCCAGAGCAAGTCCACTGCCGGATCTTCTGTTCCGAGGATGGTGTGAGCTGGCATCTTGCTGCCGACTCAGGAAAGTCCAAGATCGAAGCCGAGAGTGCGCTATCCCTCAGCCGGCCCCCTTCCTTGGTGAAGTGGTTCAAGCTCGAGGTTCTGGAAGGCGACTTTCACAACAACTTGCGCATCAGCGGAATCCGAAAGGACGATATTCCTGCATAGGCAGGCCCTCCCACGGGCCAGCCAGTGTTTAACCCGTCCACAAGATTCACAGTCGCCTCACTTGGGCTTGGCACCCGCGAGTGTCAGGCTTGCTTAGTCGGATGCGCATCAAAATGCTCGGAGCCGTACTCCCTGAACCGTCAGCAGTTTGCTCCCGCTTCTCAAGAAAGGCTCGGTGGACTCTAGATGGAGCCGCCCGAGCACCACTCCGAGAGGATGCAGCCCAAGCCCAAAATCCAAGCCCTTTCAGGTCCCCGAACACTCGAGACCTCGACAAAGCCCTAAACCAAAGACCATCCATCCTAAACTCAACATTCTGGACCCTGGACCTCCGAACCTACAGCCGGCGTTTGGGGGACTTTAAACGCCGATTTCAATCTTGATGCTTCCAGCCCCAACGCTGAAAAAGCTAGGGCCTCAAAGAGCCTCAGGCCCGAAGGCCCGAAATCTGGACCTGTCACAAAGTTGAGCACCCCTATAAATCCCTAAACAAGCAGACATCGAAGCTCCCTGTTTTCCCCCCGAGCGCCCAGCCCCTCAAAGTGCAAAGCCTTGGCCCTGAACTCCCCACGCGCCCCTCTCTGATCCGTTTAAAACCGCGAGCCCCATGCCTCATCCTCGGAGCATTGAAGCTCTTCGCGCCCCTCAAAGCCAAGCTTCAAGGTGGAGAGCCCGTCTCCGAAACCGATCAAGCGGCAGCAAGGCCCTGCCAGAGGAGTGGGTTTAGAGAATTGGATCTTGCTTCGGGTTTAAGCGTTAGGCGAGCTCCTCATCATGAGGATCATGCCATGTGGGGTAGAGCTTCGAATATTGTCATCGAGAAAAGGCATGCGCATTCCCTTTTTCTTGGGCCGGGGTTTTTTTCCCTGAAATCCTGGATACACAACCCGATGCCCTCAAAATGATCACGCAAGATTCCAACGCACTTTGGGGTCTCGTCTGCTTGGGTGCATCTCTGGGCTTCCCAGGCCAAAAGATGCCTTCTGATGGGGTCTTGGGATGTAGGAATGTAGGAATGAGGTAGAAGCGTTGGCCGTGGGGTCGTAGCTTTGACGAGGCCGCAACGAGAAAGAGCGGGGTTCCTATGGGATGTTGGCGGTTTAGGATGCAACAGTTCTGCTTTGAGGAGCTTAGGAGGGTGCAGGGCACAAGGATGTCGGGATTTCAAGCTCCAGGGCTGCCGGTCGCCATGATTGGACCTGGCCAGAAGCCTCAAAGAACCTAAAGCCCTCAACCCCAACCCCCAAAACTTTTCCATCCAAAACCAAAAGCTCCTAAATCCTTCACTCCATGACTTTGCTTCGATTTCGCGTCTAATTTGGGGTAAAACAGAGCGACTAGGCCATGGAGGATTTGCTAAAGCTCGAAGCCATCAGATGCTACAGAGGGTTGAATGAACACGTAGGGTTGACCATCTACCTACGGCTTACCCTGAGCCTTAAGCCCCAACCTTTTACCAACACAGCAAATACAAAACCAAGCACCGTCTAAGATAAACCAGTACATTTAAAATACCCTAAACCCTAAACCCTTAACCCTCTGCAGGAGTTTCGACATGAGCTGGGCCTGAATAGCTACCTGGGCACTTGCTCACTGGGCTGCGTCGTGCCAGGGCCGCATGGAGATGGCACCGCAAGAGCCTCCAACTCCAAGCCCGAAGCCCTCCGAAGCCCCGTAAGCCTTAAGCCTTAAAGCCTGGTCTAGTCACGTATGGTCTGTGATCATGTAACCCGGGTCCTTCGAGCAGAGGACGGCATCTTGTGGAATGTGTTACTCTTTGCTGCAGCATATTGAAAAAGACCGGTGATCTGGAGCCCGAAACTTTGTAACAGAGATCCAGAAGCCCAAGTCTCCGGCAGTGCCTGAAGCGCACTTTGCTAGTTGTTCCCTACTGTTGTGGCATTCCTGCCTTGACGGTTTCAGATTTCGGTGGGGGTCGTTTGAGCAGGGTGTTGTGGGGTGAGTTCGTGGCAGAACCTTGGCGGTTTCAATTGCCGGTCATTCGACCTTCGACCCTGAGGAAGACCAAGTCAAAATGCAAAACATGCAACCCTATGTTGGTGCTGAGTTCTGAACACAGTGTTCATCTGGCAAGAGCCCAATGCATGAACAGTCCAAGCACCATCGCAAACGATGCACAAGCCGTCAAGACTTGGGTAGATAAGATCCAGGAAGCTCGAGCAGTCTGAACCCATTCCGAGCTAGTAATGCCTCACTGAACTCGGCGTCCTACACCGTAAATCCGGTCGGAATCCGAAAGTCCTAACCTCGAAGACCCTCAACACCCCAAACCTTGGGTGACATGAAGATGCAAGGTGCGAACACTGCACACCCCCAGTGGCTCGACGTGTGCGCTGAAGCGCATTAGCAGGCAACGCCGGCAAACTTTCGGCGTGCTCAGGGCACTTTTGGGAGTTTAGGGTTGCCCTAGCTGGGGGAGACTTGAACCTCTAGAAGTTAAGGTAACAAGAAGCCTCTATCAAGAAGCCGCGGACCTTTCTCCGAAGCGCCTCTTCAGTGAATTCTGAACGCTGAACCCCAGACCTCAATCCCCCAACTGAGCCTCCGAAAAGAGTCAGTTTCAGGAGCCTCCATGGCGAACAAGTACCATCCCCGTGATATGAACACATACGTGTAGAAGCAGAGGGGTTTTTCCATCATGTGCTCTCCCACACAAGCCAGGAAGCTCCTCGTTGGCACTGAGTGGAGAGAAGATGCACGGAGCTCAGATGCAGGATGGCGACCCCTTCGCAAGGTCTGGGACGAAGCGGAGGCTTCCCAGGCCTAGATGCCCAACAACACTTTTTTTCTGCTGAGTCCCTGCACTATTCTCGGGTCCGTTTGGATTCTGCTTAACTCGGGGAAGCTGGCTGCTTTCGGTGGACCTCAGACGCCAAACCGCAAGTGAAGAATGTAATCCAGGCCAGTCAGTAAAACCCTAAACCCTACAGCCGAAAAGCGAAACCCGAACTCGTTAAACCCCGAGGCCAAACCACAGAGCCCTTAAATCCCGCTCCCTAAGCCCATGGCCCTACTATGAGTGGTGAAAAACTGGTAAAATCCTTGATAATCCTCAATCTACGTGTCAAGGCCCGAACATTCAACCCTCCTAGAGTTGAGTCCGCGCGAATCCGAGGTGTCGAGGCTGCAGGAGCTGGAGCATCGCCACATCTGCCGAGTGAAGGACGCTTTCGAGGCGGGTGTTTCGCTGTTTTAAGTCTCCTTCTGGGCTTTGGTCTTTGCGGTGCACGACTTGACTGTCGCAGAAATGGGGTTTGAGGTTTAAGTACGTCGTGCTCGAGATTTAGGCGTTTTTTGGCAGGGTGAAGCCGGAAAGTTTGTCGAGTTTGGTACATCAGGCTTTCGAGTTTGAGCCTTTGAGCTTTGTTGCTGATCCGGCGCATTGCTTTGTATCCTCGGCAGGTTTTAGCTTCGCCTTGTAGAAGTCTCAATAACTCGATACAGATGTAGACTATGCATAGTGCTGTTATTTTGATGCTCAGCGTGTTGAAGTTGTAATTGTTCATGCGTCGTTGTCAATATCATTCTCATTGACATTGTCGTGATCCTCAGTTGTGCTACTATCAGTAGCAATACTGTCAGGCTATCTGGTAAGATACGTGTTCTTTCGTAGTAGATCGCCCTAGTTTTCACAATATTCGCTTGGCCTTCCGATCTTTACCACAGCGGAAGGGCGAGTCGATGACTTTGCGGTGTGTTCTAGCTTCGTGCCCCCCAAAACCGTACCGGCACAGGACGCGACCAGCGTGTACCTGGCCGGGATCCCAATTGCAGACGTCCAGCTTTTCTTGAGTCTGAGCCAGTCGGGGTCACGATGTTGGTCTTCATGGTGTCACCTTCGGAAGACACCTCGGGCCACCGAAGGTATGGCAGGACGACGACTGCTACTGCTACGACTGCTGCTTCCGGTGCTGGTGCTGCAACTGCCACTGCTACAGCTGCTACTGCTGCTACTGCTACGACCACCTCTACCACGACAGGTACTGCGACTTGGAGCAGCGGTCCACGAGCCGTGAAAGTGAGCCCTGAACTCCACGAACCCTGCGCGGTCTGCCCAAAGCCCTCAACCCTTCAAAATCCCGCAGCTCCAAACCTCAAAAGCCCAAGCCCTAACGCCCCGGCCAGCGAACCCTGGCCCTAGGCCCCGGTTTGCCTTAAGCCTTCAGAAGCCTAACTCAGCTCTTCTCGCTTTTACAAACCCCTCTAACGGCCCCAGCCCTTCGAAATCCCGTGCACCCGGAACCCGTTAAAGGTGCCCAGAGGCTCTTGCACCCCCCTCCCCCCCTCAAAAAAGGGAGGGCCTAAGGAAGCGTACTTGAGGACTGCCCTTTGCTAGTGTAGTCTGGCAGTGGCTGAGGCTCTCGCCTTAAATCCTGAATGCCCGATAGCCTTATAGCCTATAGCCATGAAAAGGCCCGAGGCTTAACATCCGAACAGCCGTGCTACCACCTCGAGCTTGGTAGCCTTGAAGGCTTATTCCAGGGTGTTTCCAGCGCCCCTGAATCCTGAACAAAGCCCAAACAAGCCCTAGACTGCCACCGGAAACAGCTTCAGCACACCCTCAACTTCAAGAAACCCTCAAAAAGTCCTAAATCCTGCAGTGTCAGGTAATGGATCTCTGTCGGGGAAGCAACCTCAACAGCATCACCCGGAGCATGCGAAGTGCCTTGGACCCCCACATTTTTTTTTTCAGGGACCTTACGGCTTACGGCTCGGCTCCGGGATTTTCCGGGTTCAGCGGTTTTGGTCGCCCTTCAACCCGAAGCCCGACGGCCATGCGCAGAGCCTTCAGAGTCCCAAGCCTGCCGAGCCTCTGACTGTCGGCTTCAGAGCTCAGGCTTTTTTTTTTGGGGGGGGGGGGTTCAGGGGTTTCACGCCCTTTCCTTCAGGGTCCAAGTCCCTACAATCATCACGTACTCTCCAAAATACTGTTGATGATATAAATCCTGCACTACCTTAAGGACCCTAAACTATGGGAA